ACACACACACACACACACACACACTCCTGGCAGAGACAAGACACCTCAGTAACGGTAATGGGACAATGACTGAGTGCTTGTACCGCTCAGTGCCTCATACTAGTGCTGCACTTGCTGGTGGGGGGGTTATGACCCACCAGAAAATGACCACCCACCAGGCACATCTGTAGTATCCATCAACTATGCAGAATTAAGGTTCACATTTAACATGCAGACCTTGAAAAGATACTGAAGATCACAGGGACCCAAAGGAGAGGAAAAAAATAGATTTGTTTAAAAATACCTTCACGTACTGTATGCCTCCTCTGACACTAAAGAGAGTCTCATGGTGCACATTCTACTCCATTGTCCTCCCTTGTCTCTTCTCTCAAAGAAAAGACACTATGTCTTGTGCCCTAACCTAGCCTTTCCTGTGGCTACAGTCAGGCACAGATACATAAACTCAATCTGTCTGCATTGAACGTCAGTCTGCTCCACCGAGAGCGTCAATATGGCTTGATAATTACTAACAGTGCCTGTGGGCTCCTGGGAGCGTGGAGAAGTAACTCAATGCGAGCCTATTAAAATAAATCGAATTCTAGTTAAGACATCTAGACACAGAGGAGAAAAACAATATGAGAGTGGAACGATATAGCCATTTTTTGTAATCGTGTTATGATTAGTTACTTTATTGTCTTTCATTTTGCATTAAAATCATTCGCATCAGTGGTTCTTAATTGGTGGGTCGTATTGCAAACCAAAAATGGGTCGCGGGGTTGCTCTGATAAAACAGCATGAGAAAAAAGCAATGCTAAATGAAACTAAACTTACAATTGTGCATATTTAGGATAAAAAATAAATACATTTTTAAAAGGGAGGAGAATGTTTCCCATATTGACGTCAAAGGTTGTGCGTCCAACAGTATTTTGGCTGGAGTTACTTGGTAGAAGCAAGCCAAATTAGGAAGATGCCAGCATGGACCTGTTGTGTGACATGCTCTCATCCTCTGAAAACATGAACAAACTATGCAACAGACCGAGACTACACTAAATATACCTTTGTCTTAAATATCTATATGTATATATAGCCACTTAAAATTAACAAATTCTATTTTTTGTTTATTTATTTATTTTTCCAGTAAACATCTTTGTTAATTTTGGTGGCTAGGGTAAAATCTGGGTTCCAAGCCAGTTTGATGCTTACCATCCTTCTTGACCATGAAAAGCTTGTTTTGCAAAAACATGTGGTTGCATTTGAGATCACATTTTCTCACTATTTCTGGCCTCAATATAAAAACAATAAAATAAAATAAATAAAATCTATAAATAACGAATCAGCAATAAAAAATAATAAAATAAATCAATCCATAGAAATAAATGTAAATCAATAAATAGTGAAAATGATTTGAGCTGCTTGTGAAAAGCGCTAACCCTGCGTGAGCTGCTTGGTGAGGTCTTTGATGTTGGCTGCCTGTTTTCTCTTCTGAGTGACCAGATCATCTCGTAATTCCTCCACACGTGTCTTTAGTTGTGATGTCTCGGTCTGTAGTGTTGTTCTCTCTGTCTGCAATGCCAGAACTTCCTCTTGCCTTTGTTTTTCCTCTTTCTTCAATCTGTCCATCTGAAAACATACACAAAATGCTTCAAAATGAAAGGCATCTAAAACATGCCAAAGTTTTGTGTGTGTATCTGTAATTTAACTGGTCAGTCAATACACTTATACAGATGTCTTATGTCAAACTAGTGCACACTGTTAGGATGTAACCAACCAAAAGTAGTGACGCAATCAACGTTTTCAGTAATGTGACAATATCCTAGCTATTTCGATAATAGTGTAGGTTTTCCAGTAGCAAACAAAGAATTTATCTATTTATTCCAGCAGGTAGCATTGTAGCTAGTGATAAGTAATCTGATTTGTTTCATTGCAAGGGCTCATTGTAATAAATTAGATCATTATAGTTTAATTTCAGTCATTACTCAGTAGTGTTCCTAAGTGGCATTTTACGGCTCCTTTTCTGTGGTGAATAAATTTCATGAAATATTGCTGTTTGGAAATATTTTCACTTCAGATATAAAAATGATTATTTATTATTAATTGCATTTAGTCTACATTTGTGTTCAAGCTTCATGCTCTCCCCTAATTAAGATAAATGTTTGTATGCCAAATAAATATTGCGGACAGTTTTAATAAATTATCTGATAATTATACAATTAAGATATTAACCTTTTAAACAGCTTGAATAAATGTAGATTTTAATATTTTTATTAGTGCCTTGTACTGTAGCCAACTACTTTGAGAGTTGCTTGGCTGTAGTTCAACTACTTTTAATTGCAAGTAGCTTGTTACTTTGCATGGTACGGTTTCCAAGAAACCTCCCCAACACTGATAGAGCGGTTTAACACAAGCAAAAACGTCTTACCGTCTCAGAGAGGGTTCTCTCGGTCTCCTCTAGTTTGCTGTGCAGCTCTCTAGAGGTGCTGTTCAATCTGTCCAGCTGGGCTTGTAAGCTGTTGCTCTCAGACTGCAGCTGAGCATTTTTACTGGTCAATTTCTCAGTAAAGCCCAGTAGCTCCGCCTCTCTTGTCCTGCTTCCTTCAATGTCCCTCTGCAAGTCAGTGATCTGGGAGTTCAGATTCTCCACCTCCTCCCGCAAGGATGCAATCTCCTGATCATCCCTAAAAAAAGACACATACACATCAGACACGAGGACCAACACGTGTACAGGCCGTGCTATTTAAGTGATTTCAATTCCACCCTTGTCTAGTTTCATCATAATGGTGTACCAGTATTCCCACCTGACCAAATGACTGCATAGACCAGGGCTGTCCAAACTCGGTCCTGGAGGGCCAGTGTCCTGCAGAGTTTAGCTCCAACCCTAATTAAACACACCTGAACCAGCTAATCAAGCTCTTACTAGGCATAGAAACTTCCAGTCAGGTGTGTTGAAGCAAGTTGGAGCTAAACTCTGCAGGACACCGGCCCTCCAGGACCGAGTTTGGACAGCCCTGGCATAGACCATAAAAGTGTCAGACTGAAGGCTCTAAATCAGTGGTCTCAAACTCAATTCCTGAAGGGCCACAGCTCTGCACAGTTTTGCTCCAACCCTAATCAAACACACCTGATCCAGCTAATCGAGGTCTTCAGGATTACTAGCAGAAACTTCCAAGCAGGTGTGAGTTGGAGCTGGTTGGAGATAAGCTCTGCAGAGCTGTGGCCCTCCAGGAATTGAGTTTGAGACCACTGCTCTAAATCAATACACTAAAGACAAGGTGTGTCATTCTTGGGAATACACATAACTCATCTGCAGTAGAGTTTTTAAATACCCTCAAAATAAGAATGAGCTAATATGGCTGAATGACATTTATGTGGCCACCAGAAGTGAAATCAGAGCAGCCCCTGTGAGGCGGCCACGGAGATATGAATTATTCTGTCGGTGCCGCAGGGGCCCGTGTGATCACACTATAGTGGATTCACATCCACCTGCAGTTCCTGCATCAGCAGGGTCCACCAACCGCTGGGAGATCACTCAAGGTCAGGCTGATGTACAGATGCTCCATGCTCAACAGAAGCACGGCAAAATTAATAGGTCTAAGGATCTGAAAGTGGGATGAAGATGGCATTCAAACATGCTAATGAGAACAAAGTCTGTAGTGTTATCAGAATTATTATAGAGTAGAGAAGACTGCATATTTATATGCACATAAACAAAAATAAGGCTGAGCAATGGGAGTAAAGTCCAGTGTTATGGTGTATTGCATTAGCATTATTTTTAGCTTTTAACTTTTTTATTAATATTAGTAATTTTGTTGTGTTTTTGTCATCTTTATTGTTTTTTATATAGATGTGTATTTTTATTTATTTTATTGCAGTTTAAATAATTTAATTTAGGTGATTTTAGTACTTCACCTTAACATTTTATTTCATTTAGTTTCAGTTCAGTTAGTCTTTTTATCTAATATTTATTTTATTTTAGCTTTATTTCAATTAACAACAATTAACAACGCATTTTTAATGTTTATTTTACTTAACAATAACAACACTAGTCTATTTAATGTCATATAGTTTTTTTTTCTTTGAGCTTCATTTTATTACTTAATGTTTACTTTATTTTTTTTAAAGGCTTTAGTTTATACTATTATTTTAATGTATTATTTAGTATTTTCAACAATGAACAATTAATAGCAACATTTTAAATAATTATTTACAACATCTATTAATCTTAAAGATAACTTCAATATTATATATATATATATATATATATATATATATATATGTGTGTGTGTGTGTGTGTGTGTGTGTGTTTGTCTGTATATAACTAATTATTTGTTATTTATTATACAATTCTTTCTATTTATATGGACAGACATGAATTAACAATTAACTATAGTATATTTAGCAGTTTATTTATCAATATTTATTATATTTTTAGAACTTGTATACCTAGATTAATAAATTCTTTAGAAATTGTTCATTGTTTATAGTTCATGATATGTTCAATGTTAATTAATGGTAACACTTTACAGTTAGGTTCAATTTGCTAATTTTATTGGCATTAATACTACACTTTGAAAATAGTTAAAAGGATTATGTTCAATAGAAAATTAATTTTGAAATTGGTTTAAAAAATTTCACTGGTATTGGTACTGTTACAACTTCAGCCTCGACAAATTAATCTCATTTCAAGACCGGAAAAACTAGTCCTAATGATCAGTGTATGCTGCTGTGTACAGCTTAGGCTCTATGAGAGGCTCTGGTAGCTGAACTAATAATAGACATGGTCGGTGGTAGGTTGCTGCAGGAACAAGCGTTCAGACCTCTGGTGCTGCTCCTCTAGTGTAGTGATGGCGGTGAGTTTTTCCCTCTGTTTCTGGATCTCAGCCTTCTGTCTGTTAATGATCTCTCTGTATTTGCAGAGTTCGTCTTCCCAGCAGGTACGTTCGTCCTCTAGACACTTAACCTGAGGGCCAGAGTGAGTGCCAAAGTGTCAGAATAATGTACTCTTACACAGAGTCATTTCATAGTGTTATCTTTAGAAATGAGTTTCCACCTTGGTCCGCAGGGTGGTCAGCTCATCTATGCCTTCTTTAAAAGTTCTCTTCAGATCCTCCAACTCCTTAATCTTAGCTTTGTGCATCTGCCAATCAAACAAGATGACCATGAAAACCCCTCCTTTCGCACACTGTATCGCCATTATTCATTACTGTAATCACAATCAGCAGAGGACGCCTGCTAGGCAACACTATGTTAATAATGCAAATGAGAATGCAAATGGAACTATTTCTTGCACAGGGGCGACTCATAAGGGAGTACACACTCTCATTGTCGGCCTCAGGTACTAATGACGCTTGGTAAATGGAGGCTCATTTACACCTAAATACATTTAAAAGCAGGTGGCAAAGTGCCATACGGGCCAAACAGTTTATCTCAGAGGCCAAGTGGCAGAACCGCTAAAAGAAGCAAACCAAAGACATATGAGGTGCAATATGAACAAACACCTGCCCCCCGAAAGGTAACTTTTACGAGGCCTCTGTTCTCTACTGAAGCACATTACTTGATTATAAATGAAGAAACTGATGTCATTAGGGCTTTATATTATGCCAGTACCTCTAGCTGGTCTGTCTGCTCTTGTTTTTGCTTCTCCAGCTCTCCTTTGGTCTCTCGCAGCTTTGCATCCAATTCATTTGACTTAATCTCCTCAGACTCCTGCAGGAGACAGAGAGAGAGAGTATAATCACTGAAGTTTATAACAAGCAACAGAAACGGCAAATTAGCTATACCCCACAGATGAAGATAAGCCACTCAAATTGTGTTGAGCAGAGGACTAAAGCAATCTTTTTTAATAAACTACTTGAAATCTTGAGATCTCCAACTCATGTTTTGCATTCTACATGCAGGGCATATGTTTGTATATGGTGCCCTCTAGTGGGCAGTACTGGTTTCATGCCATTATACGGTATGTAAACAGTACCTGGTATGTTCGGATCATGTCCTGGCAGTTTTTGCGAATCTGTTCAGTCTCCTCCTTTGCTTGAGTCAGCTTGGCAGTCGTTTCTCTTAGTCTGTCTTTTGTTTCCTGTTATTAAAGAGACATCTCAATAAAGTGACATCAGCAATACACTGTTGTTATTGTTAACTAAAACTAAAACTATTAAAAATAATTTTCATTAACTGTAACAAAACTCAAATAAAATAAACTATTAGATGAAAAACCTACTACTAATACTAATACTTATAAATATGCTTTAGTTGAAGTACAAAAATGACTAAAACTGCAATAAAAATAAATTAAAGCTATATATAACTATAAGAAAAACAATGACAAAAACACATAACAAAATTATTTATACTAAAATGAAAATTGATCTTATAAAATAAATCCTAACTCAAAATATTAATACATAATAAATAAATAAATAATATTCTAAAATACTGTATACATATAGTCATGCACCAAAATGTACATTTTTTGCCAAAACAAAACTGGACGCAATTGGTAGAAAATGACAATTTTAAATTTAAATGTAAAATTTAAGCCTTATAGTTATTTAAGTTTTGATAGTTATATATTTTTTTTTACATTATAAATGACATATTTAAGTAGTTACACTAATCCCTTCAATTAGAGTGACTTTACAATAAAACTGGATCTATTTTTAAAGGAACACTCCACTATTTTTGAAAATAGGCTCATTTTCCAACTCCCCTAGAGTTAAACAGTTGAGTTTTACCGTTTTCGAATCCATTCAGCCGATCTCCGGGTCTGGCGGTAGCACTTTTAGCTGTAGCTTAGCATAGATAATTGAATCTGATTAGCCCGTTAGCATCTCGCTCAAAAATGATAAAAGAGTTTCGATATTTTTCCTATTTAAAACTTGACTCTTCTGTAGTTACATCGTGTACTAAGACCGACGGAAAATTAAAAGTTGACAAGTGTGCCCTTAACAAGCTGTTTAAACTACAGTGGAAATTAACGTTCCTCTTCGTCAACATTGAAGTCTGGCCTTTGGCTAGATCATGGCTGCTATAATAATGTGCCCTATCATAAAAGAGTGAGTGCATTTCTAAAGACCTGTTCACAGCTACTATAAACATAACTATAACGTTAACTATATTAGCGTCCATACTAACGAATTATAACATTCTTTTTATTATAAGTGCTGTTTTTAATGCCTTCTGCTGCTTTAAATGCACAGGCTTTTTCAAATTGGGTGTATTCTGATTGGCTGTCAATGTTTTTCAACGTTCTTCACCTGGAAAAATCATTCCAAAAGTAATTCCAACGATATCATTCCTCTGTGTTGTTAGTGTTATAGCTGTGATATAGATAATATTCTCATAGAATTAGAATGACTATTAAAATTTTATAGTTTTAGTTACTGTTATAATTCATGCTTAGTGTGAACAGCCTTTAAGTCTGTATTCACAGTGTTCTCTGGTTTACCTTGTGAGCATCCGTTTCGCTCTTCAGCTTGTTCTGTGCCCACTTTACTTTGATGACATGAGAATTGATTTCTTCCTTGACTTTCTCCAGTTCACGGGAAAGTCTCGTCACTTCATTCTCCTATAGAAAAGTAATCAAAGACAAACACTCCTGAGAACCTATACACAATCAGTGCATACTGTAGATTCACACACCATAACAAGCATCAAGGTAAACTGTATTTTCATGTATGACCTTAGAGTCATAGAGCTGCTGCAGACGTCCTTTCTCTTGGGCCAGTGTGTTTCCCCGCCGGGCCTGTTTGTCTACTTCTGATGTGGCCTCCCGTAGCTTCTTCTCCAGCTGTTCCTTTTCCCTCCGCAGGTCCAGAGCTTCCTTTTCGCCTCGAACGTACTTCATCACCATTGTCTCCTTCTCCTGCCGTGCCTCCTCACATTTCTTATTGGCCTGTTAACACATGAACAAACATTGTTTATGGATCATGTGAGATCAGAACCTATAACCATCCAGTTACCAGCCCGAATATACAGTACACCATTCTATGAAAACTTGGACATATTTGATGCGTCTAATGACAGTGAAAGAGCAAAAGAGAGGCCCTCGCACTTGACTGAGGAGTTTACATGAGAGTGAGGAGCGGTTTGAACAAGTCCTGCCAAACCAAACACAGCTCTTTCCAAATTTTTATGACGTAGTCCTCAATATCTGAATTCTGGACTTTACATTTACCCACAGTTGTGTGGAATAAAAAAGGATGAGGACAAAAAGACAAATGAAAACCCAACACTTGACATCCTAATGACCCTCTTTCACTTTGTGCAAACAAGATTGCAAGACTGACATGATTTCATTTTAAAGACGCTGCTATATAAAGAGCACAGACTGATTTAGAAGTAATTTAGCCAGTGCTCTTATGCAAGAAAGGCTTTGTTTGGAGTGTCTCCATGGCGATGACCTCTCACCTGTTCAAGTCGATAGGTCATCTCCCTCTGCAACTGCTGGATGGCATTCTTAGCGGCCTGATCCTGGTGAACCAGTTTGTCTCTGGAGTCTTTTAGTTCCTTCATAAGTTCCTCCAACCGGCTTTCAAACTGGTGAAACAAGAGAGGGAAACAGTTAAAAGGCCGTGACTGTGGTAACCATAAACATATTCATATTGACGACAAAAGAGGCAGCTCTGACAGACAGTAGCTAATCCGAAAGAGATCAGTGTTTACACACCCAGCGAGTTCAATATGACCTGCGTCTTCATTTAAATGTCAAGTTCTGGACAGCTTATGAAAATAGATTCAAACTAAAATTTAAATAAGTGACAAAGGCTCCATTCAGGTTTCAAAAAATAAACCGTTCCCTTTCTGGCAACCATGTGTAGGAACCAAGTGTTCAGTCTTCTTCACAGTGCTACTATTGAATGAAAGTAAACAGACAGGCAAGGTGTCATTCAGATGAAGGATTTGGCGGTGTGGCCTCAGATGCCTGTTCTGACTATGAGGAGAAACCATGACAGCAAAATGCACACATTAATTCCACGTGTCATCATTACTGCAACACTTAATTATGGTTTCTCAACCTGTTCCCCCCCCAAAGGCCGCTCTGTTTGATCTGTGCTATTACATTCTGTGACATGGGGCTCTTTCTGATTGAGCGAAACTACGGTCTCTCTTAGCCTGGAGTCGCTCTCAAACAAACCTGCTTTTCCAGAATTGGATGAAAGCTCTTCAGCAAACAAGTGTTCTCTAATCAGTGCAACAAGGCACAGTCATGGATGGCCATCCACATACTGAAAAGGCATTTAAATAACAAATAATGCCATTGAGCTGAACATACCTAAAATCTGGATACACTAGAAATGAGTAGTAATGAGAGCATGGATATACACGACTGTTCAAGGGTTTGGGGTCATTAAAGAAATGATTCAGTAGGGATGCATTAAATTGATCTAAACAAAGATTTGTATACACCAAAGAATCCTGAAAGAAATGTATCAAAAATATTAAGCAGCACAACTGTTTTCAACATTTAGGCCTATAATAATAAGAAATGTTTCTTGAGCACCAAATCAGAACATTAGAGTGATCATGTGACATTTAAGACTGGAGTTATGGCTGCTGAAAATTCAGCTTTGCCATCACACAAATAAATTACATTTTAAAATATATTCAAATAGAAACACTTGTCTTAAATTGTAATAATATTTCACAATATTACTGTTTTAATGTATTTTTTATTAAATAAATGCAGCCTTGGTGAGCAATAGAGACTTCTTTCATAAACATAAAAAAAAAATTTACTCCAATTTATTCTAATTGACTTCAAACTTTCAGTAGCGTATATTCATAACCTTTGGACAATATATGAAAATTAAAGCAAATTTCAAGCTAAACTGTTTAATCTTTACAACAATGTTTCTTTAACGCTTCCTTCTATTCATGGTTGGTCAAATAGATAGTCAGGTTATCCAAAAAACCAAAACAAAAAACAAATGAAGACACACATACACAAACAATTTATGGTTGCCTTTACTTTCTTAATGGTGCAAAGATGTTGTTTCTCTGTCTCCATCCTCTTCTTCAGCTCATCCCTCATGTTGTCTTTCTCAGAGCAGATGCCCAGAATCAGCTCCTGATGTTTCTTATTCTCATCAAGTAATCTGAAAAACAGTTACTAGCTGTCACTACCAATGCTAGCTCATTGTAACACGCTGGAGCTGTTGTACTGTGAAATAACACTGCTTCTGTTGTGTCCATCTGTTATTTGCTTGTCAATGAGAGGAATTCTTGTATAAAACTGTTGATCTAAACCACATCAAGGACAACAACTAATTGTTTTCAGTAAAGTATTAGGCACCAATATTTGTCAATGTAGAAAAGACCATGTGATATTAGCAGAGGGAACAGGTGTCTGTGAGCATCACACATCAGACAATATTAACAGCAGGCCAAGCACAGCAGAGCTGCGGACCGGTTCCAATATGCAAGTCAGCCAGATGCCCTTGCAAAAATTAATGAAGCCAGAACAGGCGGTGGTTTTAGAGCAGACAGGCGAAGGTTGATCACAGCATAAAATAATCAGTACCATTAGCACCATAGCAAAAGAAATCATATTTCACCAGAGTTATGAAACAGCAGTCTGAATTAAATGTAATGAGTTAAACAGGCAATGAATCATGAAATAAGACAAAGCCAATGTCATTCTATTGCATGGTCTTCAGTAGCTGGACGCAAAAACAAACACAAAGCACAAACATCGTAGTTTGATTCATAAATCTTTGCCTGTTCTTTCAATGAAACAGTCAAAAAGACTCACAACAGACTACAGAATTGTTTTGAATCATCCTAATAAATCATTCACTACTCCCAAAACTGTCTGTGTGTATGCAAATTAACATCCGACTCAATTAAATTAAGTATAATTACTGGGTAATTAATTATTCATATAATAATAGGCCTAGTTAAACTTAACAAAATCCAAAATATATTTTATAATAGATTAAATATTCATTATTTTTATTATTTAAAAAAATGATTAAATATTTTACAAAAACATGGAGGACAAAACATATTTCTATTATAATATTAAAAAAATTATTATCTATTTTATAGAAACTTACATAATCCTGATAATTCATGAACTCATTTCCCTTGATTAGCTGATGTTTACGGGGGCGCGGGGTCAATGTGTGAATTGCCACACACTGGCAATGAAAGACAGTGAAGTGTAATTTTCATGCAGGTAAGAATGTCAAATTAAACTAATGATTTACCATCTCCTGCTGCTATAAATCAAACAGCAATGGACTATAACCTCTCGAGAGCTGATTGAAGTGAGCTATTAATCAATTTATTTGAAGCTGCGGATTCGGGTGACGTTTTAGCTCAACCGCGCATCACTAATCAACAGCCTACCTCTTGATGGCTTTCTCCTGTTGGGAGTACTTGTATTGTACACACTTCTCAAATAGAACCATGGAGTTCTGGTCCTTCTGAAGCCCATTGGGAGGACTTCCCTTGCGCATGCCATCTGACTGACTGTTCAACAGCTCATCCTCCAGCTCATCCAGCAGAGGCTCCTGAGACAGAGAGCGCTGGATCTCAGACAACAGTTTTCTGCTGCAGTCGGTGTCATACGGGCTCATGGTGGAGTTGGATTGCGAGTTTTGGGGTACTGAAACAACATCTGGAGTTGTTGGAGTCAAAGGAGTTCTGTTAAGGTCTGTTGGCCCATTGAACATATGTGTGGATGAAATATCATCTGTCCCATTCAGAACAGAGGAAGAATATTCCTCAACTTCATTGTGAGTCCCACCTTCTAATTCTGGAACCACCTCTGCTGGTTCTTCAAGGCCAGAACATTTGAGTTCTCCATCTAGAACAGCAGGAAGTGATTCCACAGCACTGTCGTGAAGAGCTGGTGGAGACCTGGCATCATCAATGGAGGCTGTTCCACTGTCACCGCTAGTGTTCCCATCACCCAGGGCATGTTCTCCAAGTCCTTCATCTCGCTGGACCTCCATGTGCATGTCTGGTCTCTGACCTTCTCTGTCCACACTATCTGAAAGAGTACCATCCAGCTCAAGACTGTCCAGCTCAGTGTCTTCCTCCTGTTCTTTTAAATCAGATTCACCCCCACTGCTGAGGACATCGTTTGACCCTTCCAGAACCATGCTGACCTCTGAACTTTGGGATGGGTGAGAGGCAGGGGTCAGTTCGCTGTGACAGTCTGATGGCTCCATGACCTCTTTCAGCTACTGGCACTGGAAAACACAACACACAAAATTCAGTCACATGCACGTAAAACTCAAAACAATGCAGCTTCCTACCATACGACTCACTTTTTAATTCAGAATAATTACTGACTGGTTATTCATATAATGATATATAGGCTTAGCTAAAGAAAATCCTGAAAATATTTTTTATAATAAATTAAATTATTTATTTATTGCTATTTAGTTAAAAATGTAATTAATTATGTTACTAAAATGGGCAGGGGGCTGCAAAAAAAAAAAAGAATTCTGTGGGTGACAC